CTGGCCCCGCCCCGCGCCCTGGCCCCGCCCCGCCCGGCCCCGCAAAGAACGGAGAGACGGGAAGGGTTTGGATGCTTGAGCTGGTTATTGATCCACGAGCAGGATCTCCATCCGTCAGTTGGATCTCGATCCATGAGATGACTGTTAACCCAGCACAAACACACACACACGGAGCCCCCGCCCCGCACAGGGAGCCCGGCCCCGGGCAGGGCCCGGCGGCTCCCCCGCCCCGGTCCCGCCGCTGTCCCGCAGCAGCGCCCGGTCACTTCTTCTGGAGAAATTTCATTTTGTTGCCTGCGGGGAAAAAAAACAGCTCTAGGAGATTTATGTGAGGGTGGGGAGGCCCTGGCACAGGGTGCCCAGAGAAGCTGTGGCTGCCCCATCCCTGGAAGTGTCCAAGGCCAGGTTGGACAGGGCTTGGAGCAACCTGGGCTAGTGGAAGGTGTCCCTGCCCATGGAAGGGGTGGAATGAGATGAGCTTTAAGGTCCCTCCCAACCCAAACCATTCCATGATTCTGTGAGCAGGAGACATGCCAGGAGCATCTGGCAGAGTCACACATGGCCACAGTGCTACAGACACAACTTCTGAGTGTGTCCTCAACCAGGATCACAGTAAGGATCAAGCCTGTACATCCCCCAGAGCAGCACCTCTCACAAACTTCATCTAAAGATGTTTTGCTTAAAAATAAAATTAAAATCTTGCACAGTGTTCGGCATCTCCTGAAGGGGCAAATCTAAACAAAGGAACTCAAGTGCACAAGGCAAAGAAGGGGCCCTGCTCTCCTTTGCATCAAATTAATTATTCAATAGCTAAAATTAATTAAAAAAATTAAAAATCAACAAAAATCAAGGGTCTCCCTTTACCAAGGCTGCGAAGGATTTTGTTCATTCCAGTTCGTTCCGTCTCTGGAATACTCTCCAAATACTCCAAGGCACGGACCTCAAAAAGGCCTAAAGAGAAAAAAATCCAAAAAAATTAAAAATCACTCACCTAGATGAGCTACTCCACCCTTTACCATGTGGCATCTTCTATGCTTAACAAGGTTATGAAAGGAAATCCTGCATGTAGTGTCTGTAACCTGCAGGATCGAGCCCAGAAAGGAGAGATGCAACAACTCTTTGCTTCATAAGATGAATTTTGTTGAGTAACTGGAAGAGAACGGGGCTATCCCATATGCCAAAATCCCAACAGGACAACTTTCCAGGACAAGAAGAAAGATCAAACCTACCTTTGACCACGTTCTTGCTCAGCTCCCGGTCCTGGATGAACCCTGCAAACATCTGTGTTTCCATGAAGAACTGCAGGAAGTGGCGCACGTTGCGGGACACGTGGGATTTGCGGAAGGGCTCCCGCTGGAACACCCGCTCCCCCTTCTCCGTGACGTTCATGTGCAGGGAGTAGTGCCCAACAATCTCCACAAAGAACTGCACAAAAGCCTCAGAGACCAGCGAGTTCAGGGTCACGTCCCCTGTGAGGAGGACACAGAGGGATTTCCCATCACTTTGGTCATTCCTCTTCCAAAGGAGGAGCAGCTCTTAGGTCCTTCTTAGCTCTTAGGAGAGCAGTGACCTCAGTTATTTTTTGGGCTGGCTGTCTCAGACTATGAAATCTCAGGTGACTCTTTGATATCAAACAGGTCACAGCTCAAATATTCAATTTCCCATGTCAGCTTTGTGCTGCAGCTGGGACAGGTTCAATTCTAAAGCCTTTCCAGTAGTTAAAGCATTCAGAATTCCATTTTTCCTGCCAAACATCTCGTGTCTAATATGCTGACAGCTCATAACGGGCTAAGTTTAATTCCCTTAAAGAATTAGACAAACTACAGAACACAAACCCACTGGAAAACTAACTTTGTTACTTCTCATGTGTATGGAATTACATCATTTGACAATGCCATTCTCTGCAGCCATCCAATGCTTTTTAAAACTCTCACACTTCCTTATCTGATGGATTATTTATAAATCAGTCCAGCTTTGAAAGTGATCTGTCAGAGCACCTTCTAAAGTACAGAAACTCTCTGTTTGAGAAAAGCATCGTCTCTGCCACTTAAGAAAAATCAAAAAAACCCTCAAAGCACAGGAACTGATGCCCTTGGCCCAAGGAAAACTATAGCTCTGCACATACTGATTGTGAAAAGAGGAACAACTGTCAGCACACCAAACTTCTCACACGTTCACAAGCAAGATGTCTTCAGTGGGATCACAGGGAAACAGCTAAAATGTCCCTTCTTAATGTTTATTCCCATGTGCTCATTTTTATACCAACTCCACAGCAGCTATAAAGATCTGCTAATGGGAAAACACTTTTCCACAGAAAATTTTGCCCAGAAGTACCTTGTGTGTCACTCTGCCCATGTGACAGGATTTCACTTCGTTCTTCCAAGACTTGTACAAGTGCAGCCTGGAGTTTATGAGGCAGGATCTCGTCTTCATCTGATACCTACAGACAAAAATTGGCCAAGGAAGGATTTTTGGGTTAGATCCATCATCAGCAGAACCAGGGAACAGATTAGAAATACCCATAACGTGCCTAAAGCAGTTGGAGGGGAGTAACTCTGGGATATGGTGGATCTTGGTGGAGCAATGTATTTGTTTTGTAGCCACAGAAATGAAAAATATTTGCTCAGCACCCTCCAAACACGTTCTGTTAAAGTCACACACACAGCTGGCCAACACAGAACACGTGCTACAGCCACAACACAGACACAGGCTTATTTCAGCAGTGAAAAAACACACAACAACAAACAACAACAAGTCTGTTGAGAAAATATGACAAGTCTCAACCCCCAAAAATTGGGGTTTTAAAAAAACCCCAATCCTTTAATACCTTTCTCCAGTTGCAGGCTGCAATGCAAAACAGGACAGTGAGGCAAGGGAAAGGAGAAGCAAATATCCTCCTGAACTAGTAATAAATATCCCAGTTTGTAGGTCCTTGTCTGGTGATGCAGAAGCACTTTAGGTGGAGTTCAGCAAAGAAGCACAAGTGAACTGTGATAATTTGTTCCCTAGATTATCACTCCTGGGGAAAACAACAACCTAAACCAACAAACACACCTCACCTAGATAAGAGAGGAGAAAGTATTTTACAGAACAAGTACAGGGAGAGACAGTCAGAAGGCAGCAGAGAATCTTAGTGATCTCCTTCACATAATAAACCAGGTATCCATTTTTAAATTCAGCTCAGACAAGCAGCATCTTTGGCTATGCAGAGCTCTCCATATCATGCAAATGGGATTTTTAAGCCTGTTCCCTTCTCTGTCAGTCCAAAGGGATTACAAGGTATTTCTTCAGCCACTGGAGTCTACATATGAACACCAGCTTATCCTGAGTGCTTGTTTTTATTTCTTTCATTGATGCCTTTTCCTGGCATGAGTGACTGGCACTGTTATTTCACTCACCTCTTGCAAGAACTTGTCGGCACAAAGATCAACAATGAGAACCTGGGGAAAGATGTACAAAACACACTGACTCGTAACCAGGTATGTTGCTGTACAGAAAATAAACCCAACTTTTTTTGTTGCTTTTTAAATGTCCTGTCACACAAGTTCTGCCTGTGTCTAACTGCAGCCTGTGTCTAAGAACAGTGAATATTCCTGTCTCTAAGAACAGTGAACATTGTTTATCTTTGATAACACTGGAACACCCCGACCGGTGTCTGCCAAGTTCACCAACTTCTCAAAATGTTTGAGTTTATATTAAGACAGAATCCAGAGATTATTCCAGAGGGGGCAACCTCATCCCACTGACACTGTCCCTCACCCCATTCTCACCTCTTCTATGGGCAGGTCCTGGAGCTGTGGTAAGGAGCAGGAGAGAATGCCAATAAGGAACGGGGTCGGAGAGCACACGATATCGATCATAGAGGCTGGCAGGACTGGGATGTAGGTGTGCTGCCAGGTGAAGGGGTAAAGTGTTGCAACAGCAGCGTGGCCACACTTAGACAGAGTGCTGGAAAGGTGAGAGAGGCACAGGGTGGATTGTCAGTGTTTCCTTCAGGTCTCAGCTCCAGCCACAGGTTAGAAACGCTCGGGGCAAGTGTTTGTGTGCAGCAGCAGAAGTCCCGTGCACCACTTTTGAAGTCAGTTATGGGGAGCTAAAACAGCATCAACCCAGACTAAAAAGGCAAAGTAGACATATTTCCTCTTGTGTAAACAGCATACTCCAAAATCTAAGCATGCACATGTTGTGTGGCAAGTGCAAAAGGTTTTCAAATGCAACTAATTACAAAAAGTAAAGACGCTTGCACATGGAACAGGCCCAAAGGCAGAAGAAATAACAGTGTCCAACAACAGTACCCCTCAGAATGAACTGCTCAGTCTCACTCGGTTGTTACCTTAAGTTGTCAGCCACAAAGATGACCCTCCTTTCCAGCAGGAGAGAGGCAAAGACCCGAATGGTGTGGGGGACACTGAGACACTGGAAGAGGCACTCGAAGTCAACATGTTCGAGCCGGGAGTCCAAGGGGCGGCAGAGCTCCATCACCTGAGGGGTGAGAGAGACCCAGAGTGCTGGGGGAGCCCAGAGCTGCTGCCCCTCAGCCTGCAGAAAGGAGCCCGAGGTCAGAGCTCATCAGGGTCTGCAGCTTCCTCACGAGGGGCAGCTCTGATCTCTGCTCTCTGTGATCAGAGACAGGACACAAGGGAACGGCTGGAACATAACCAGGGAGGGTTATGTTGGATATCAGGGAAAGGTTCTCCCCCCAAGAGGGTGGTTGGGCACTGAATAGGCTCCCCAGGGCAGTGGTCACGGCCCCAAGCTGCCAGAGCTCAAGGGGTGTTTGGACAATGCTCTCAGGGACAGGGTGGGATTTTGGGGTGTCTTGTGCAGGGCCAGGAGTTGGACTGGAAGATCCTTGTGGGTTCTTCGAGCTCAGGATATTTTATGATCCTAACTAGGGCCCAGGCAGTTGGTGCAGCACAGAGGACTCCCCAACAGCTCCTCCTTAAAAAGCAGGGAATCACTTCCAATGTAGGGGATTCCACAGAAAGCTGGTTTCTGTAACAACCTCCCTTGCGACTTCAGGGCATTTTCCTCAGATTAAATATTTACAGGCAGCATCACTGCAGGGCAGTTTGCAAAGAGGCTCTGTGTCCCAGAGACCCCACTAACAGAGGGAAGCCCATCCTGATCCCTGTTACCTCATCTCCTGCTCCGGGCAGGAAGCTCCTGACGGTGATGGTGCGTCCCGGGGCAGGGAACGGAGCCTCCATCACGCTGCGCATGAACGGGTGCACCAGGGCTGGGGACATCTCTCTCCTCTTCTCCACTTCATCCAAAATCTGCAAGAAAACACGTGGGGCACCGGTTCACTGCTGCTGGTGAGCCAGGGGAGGTGGGAGCCCCTCTTTGAGCATTCCAGGCTATGGGGAAGCTCTTCCCCCTCGCTTGGGACCCTGTGAGAGCCCCTCTCAAGTGCCTGAACAACCAAACAGGAACAGCTTCCTGCGAGCACAACTCTCCATTCCCCAGCCTCCTGCTACTGGAAGGAAATGTCTTGTGTGTAGCAATAAATTCTCATTATTTAGAGGAGTAAGAGGAGCAACATGCCACCACCCTCCCCAAGAAACCTTCCTGGAACATTGTTCTAGAAACTCTCTGCTCCAACAATCACAATCAGCTTTCATCAAAGTTTACCCCTGTATTATTCTGCCCTTTACCTGCAGCACTTTTCCCCATTCTTCACCTCTTTATCTCCCCTCCTCATGGTGCTACAAGAAACAAGGTGAGATCTACCCCATTCCCAAACTGATTTTCCATTTCCAAGACATGGAAGAGGAGGATGAAGGGGCACCCTCAACAACACCAGGTATCAGAAGCCACTTCCTGACAGTAATTGCTGAAGGACCTGTGTATTGGCTCACAAGTCTCTGCACTAGTATAACTTTATTTTCCCTCTCAAAGCAAAGGCAGCAAGAAACTCCCTTTCTCAGGGGATGAGCTGCAATCACTAAGCAATTCTAGGCTTGACAGAAGCATCCTCCTGGAGCTTGCAGGCTGTCAGAGACTCGGGTGACAGGCTGTCCCCAGCTCACCTTGGAGAAGAGGTTGAAGCAGCCCAGGCGGCTCACGATGCAATAAACCTCGGGCAGGCGCTTCCCCTTCCCTTCTGGCTGAAAGGCAACAGCAACAGCTCTGCTGAGAACAGGGGTGCAGTGAACAACCCAGCCCCTACACTGCAGCTCGTTCACAGAATTCCTTCTGCTGCACTTCCCTCTACACTTAAAAGATTCCTGAGGAATGCCCAGCTTCAGGAGCTGTTTCATGCCCAGGGCCCGTTTCACTGTTTCTGGGATCACCATGACCCTTCCCGCTGCATTTAAAGGGTTGGTACCTCCACAGCAGCACAGGCTGCACACCCCACATGGAAAACCACCTCTGATTCATGTCCTGCACCTGACTGTGCCTGTGCAATGCATTCTGTACCCTCCAGCCCACACACAGACCCTTACCAGGAGCTTCTTGCAGTACCCAAACCAGCGGCTGCCGTCCTCACCCGTCAGCACGAAGGAGAACGTTTCACTGGGGAACAAAAGGCAGGGTTAAATCAGGGTTAACTCACCACACAGCTCAGAGAAGACACTGACAAAGCACACAAAATAAAGCCATTCCCCTTCTGGTCATGTTGAAGATCCCTGGCTGTGGTTAGCAAGGACTCCAGGCTCTGTTCAGGAGGAAAGCCTGCAGCCCATGGGCTCTCACTGAGCTATTCCAGCTCTCCTCCTTCCCAGCTGCTTCTCCATTCAGCCAAGGAGCAGCAGAAGCACTTCCAGCCCCAGCAGCTGGTTCTGGACAGATGTCACAAACTTCCCTAAAGGAAAGACAGTGCTTGGGCAGAAGCAGAACTCTGAGCCCACGTCCCCACCTCATCTTCCCCTGCACAGGGGATTCAGCCTTTCCCATTTTCCCTTGCTCTGGCTGCAGTTCCTCTGGCACACACCAAAGCTCTCAGCAGTGCCTGTTTCAGGCACAAGCATTCAAAACCAAGTCTTTACCTTTTAAGGTCTGATGCAGGAAACCAGTCTTTGGGATCTGGAAAGCAGAATCTGGGAATGACCTTTAGCCTCTCTTCAGTATCCTTTGACTGTCTGAAGGGATGTTCAGGCTGGAGGGGTAACACATGCGTTTGAAGTCACTGAAGTTGGTGCACAGCTGCAGCATTTCAAACAACAGAGAAAGCATCTTCCTGACACTTCCAAATGCTGATCCATCAGATAACTAATGCACAGGTACAGGAGAATATATTCTGAATATAAGAGATTCCCAGTTCCCTCTTGCATTTTTCCTGCTGACTGGACCTTTGTAAGATGACCCAGCTGGTCTTGGTAAGAACACAGTAAGGATTTACAAGCACTCAAGTTTATTGGGGAATGAAGCCAGAAGTGACCCCCCAGGTGATGGCTGGGTCAGGCTGCCTTGGTTCTATCCCTAGGAGATTTGAAAACACTAACAGGAACAGGAATGTGTTCAGCCTGTGATGTGCAGAGATCACTCATAACTCGAGTGCAACAGTCTCTGAATCACACATTCCAGCTACACCACGTGTGGGTTCAAATCAAATCCCTCAAAGACTAGAGGCCAACTCTCCATACTCAAAACTGCCCAGAAAGGGCAAAAGGGAGGTGTTCAAATAAGAGAGATCACATTTAAGCAGGAAATGCCCGTGAGAAGTGAAAAGTTTATGGCGTAAAGCTGGTTTTAGACACTCAGCACATCCAGGCTATTCCAGTGTCCCAAGCTGTGACAGCTCAAAGGAACATTAGGAAAACAGAACAGCATTTTCACAGAGTAACAGTTGTACAAAAGCTTTGATGTCCTTGGGCACACAGCCCAAAGGAGAGGGTGACAGCAGATTACTTGGAAGCAAGGCTAATATTAGAAGGGAGGCAAATCTGTAATCAGAACACCTCCATAATTACTTGGCAATCTTTCCTGCAAAATCCCAATATGACAGAGTGTCCCATCATAAGCCACTCATCAAAACACTTTACTTTGAGCAGAAAATAAATAAATACTGAGAAAGTAATTTGTTGTGTCAGTGCACTTACAAAAGCCAGTAAAGAGCCACATGGCAGAGCTGGGTTGTCTGCTGGGGCAGCAGGAGAGGAGCCCTGCAGTGCCCTTCCCAAAGGCAGTGGACAGACTGAGAGGTTGCAGCTAAATCTGCCACATTCCTTCTCTTCCCCTAACACCCTCAAGTTTGCACTTTAAGCAAGTATTATTTATGTCTTTTCAATTTTAGCCACTAAATTAACACTGTGCACTCTTTCTGGCTGTAGTTCCTTATCCATCTTGTGAATCCAGAGCATTCACACATTTAAGACACAGGAGTTACTTGTCCATAAATCCTTTAGGCAGCTGGAAGTGGGACACTGTGGGTCCTGCTGGGGTCCCCCTCAAGGAATCTGACATCTCCTATTTGGATGACATGCAGATTCCTTAATGATCTCTGGCTCTCTCCTGGCAGCACAGCCAGAATTCCTATCTTTGTCCTGGTTTCAGTGGAAGGCAGCAGTACAAGCCCAGGCAGTGACAGCTGAATATTCATTTCAATCTGGAACCACAGAAGCATCAAGGCTCCATCTCAGCTTCACAACCGTGTACACTGAGCCATAACTCAGAGTCACACACTGATTTTGTCACCCACCTGGGCTGAACAGCTTATTTCAAATGGCTCGTGGTAGCTACAGCACTTCAACTTCCACAGCTCTCCCCTGGCTGGGGGGTTGGTACACACAGCTTTGCCTTTTTTATTGTTATTTTTTTCAAAATAGCATCAATAAGCATAAAAGCCCTGGGATTCCAGTTCCTGTGCACCACCAGTCAAATTGCTTCACTCCCTGCTGACAGATCAGACTGCCAGGATGAGATCCTGCCAGCTTTGGGAATAGAGCAATGCACTCCCTTCCTCTCCCTCATCTGCCTGGTATCACAATCCTGTGTGGATTTATGATACTTCCAGGAAATTTGAATTAAGTAGGAGCCTTCCTAGTTCCTAGTTCCAAAAAAGACAATAAGCTCATTACCAAGAAATATATTCAACACCCTCCCAGTGCCATACATTAGGTCTGCAACAGAGCAAGGTGCTTCACAGTCCAAGCCTGTATCCCATCCTTAGGAAGGGAAACACTGCTGAGTGTTTTGTGGGCAGGTTTCCAAGCAGCTCCTACCTTGCTGGGGAACTGCTGGATGATCTGTGGTGTGTAGGTCACCTCAGATGGCTTCCTGTGCAGGGACACCACCACAAAGAGCTCAAACAGCCGCTGCTCCTGCAGCTCTATGAGATCCCTCTCCAAGGTCTGGTAGTGTGGGTTCCTCTTGGAGGCTGCCTGAACCTGCCGTGGGCACCTGTGGCGACCTGGAGGGAGGAATAAATCCCAAATCAGCCCGTGGGTGTCACTGCCACACACCTGCAGGTCACAGAAGAGGACTCATCATCATCATCTCTAGAGGGGGAAAAGAGATGGGTGGATTTGCCTGACATCCCTCCTTCTCTCCACGGGACACCTCAAGCTCCTCAAGCACAGAGCTGCCCTTCCCCCTGGTGACAAGTGACAGGATGACAGGAAAGATTTCCTCACAGGAAGGGTTGTAAAGCATTGGCACAGGGTGCCCAGGGCAGAGGGGGAGTCACCATCCCTGGAGGTGTTCATCAAACGTGTGGATGTGGCACTGGGGGACATGGGTTAGTGGTGAACGTGGTGGTGGCACTGGGTTGATGGCTGGACTTGATGATCTCAGAGGTCTTTTCCAACCTCAACAGTTCCATGACTCAGACAGGGAGCAGCTCTGCAAATCCCTCCTGACCAATACCCAGCATCCTCCTGCTGCCCTGATGTCCTTCCCATGCACCTTGGAGGGATGTGCTGTGGTAATGGCTCCAGTAAACACCAGTAACTGCCAGGCAGCGACTCTAAAGCAGCACTGGCACTCAGGAAAGGCAGAGCCAGTTTCCTGGCCGAGAAACCTCCAGGCTGGGGTGTCCTGACAGGCAGCACAGACTCACAAGCACAGGCACAGCGCTCTGACGTCAGAAATTCCTGTGGCCCAGGCACCGTGACACATTCTAGACACTTTCAAACAACTCTCAAACCAGGCAGTGACTCAATCACTGTATTTCTGCAGAGGTTCTTCACTCTCCATTACTCTCCTTACCATAAAAAAGTGGAACTTCATTATTTGTTCCAAGTTAAGGCCTTTTGTGTGTTTCCCTCCAAGCAAATGAAACTCCTAAAACAATTCACAGAATTCCAGAAGGGTTTGGGTTGAAGGGGCCTTAAAGATCATTTTGTCCTACCCCCTGCCATGGGCAGGGACACCTTCCACTAGCCCAGGTTGCCCCAAGCCCTGTCCAATCCGGCCTTGGACACTTCCAGGGATGGGGCAGCCACAGCTTCTCTGGGCAACCTGTGCCAGGGCCTCACCACATCAGCCAAAACCAAGGAGGTGTTTCAAGTCTCTAGTTTGGGCCTGTGATCAAACTCAGGACTGTGGAACCAGACAAACACCCAAGTGACTTCTCCCCAGAGAAAGGGGCATTTCACAGCACTGTATAAAACAGAACCAAGGGAAGGAATTAGGGGGGGAATAATCTCAAGTGTTGGCAGCAAAGCTGACCGAGGACCATCTCCCGGAAGACACATTTTAGTTAAGTGTGACTCTACCAACTCCAAAATTAATCTGTTTCTTGTGACGGGCAGATTAATGGCATTAAACCTCCAGCATTCATGGGAAGTGGCAGAAATAGAGGTTGGTTTGTGATGCCTTAAAAATCTATATTATGTAAGGTTTTAGTAGAGCTCATTATTACTTTTAGCTCGCTAAGTACCTTCGTACAAGATTTCTGAAAACGCTGTTTAACGTTCCTTGTGAAGAATTTCAAGATTTTAGCAAGGTGAAGAGCTACTCATCTGTAGAAATGTACTAAAAAAGACACATAACAGAGTCCCACTACTTTATATAAGTAGTCAAAGCTACCCAGAGGCCTTGAATCCATTGCAGGGAGGACAGAGATGACGAGGAAGACCAAGAGGAAGATGAAGGAGTGGTCATTTCAGGACCACTGACTCAAATTCGGGAGGTGTGTCAGGGGTGGGGCAAAGGTGGTATTGTAGGAGATTTGGGAAGTGGGTGTAACAGATGATGTAATGTCTAGATATTACAGTATAAAAACTGCAGAACCTCTGTAATTCCCTACTTTGGGAATGATTCCTGAGCACCCAGCCTGCTGTAAATAAATGAGTGTTTTTTGTTTCTAATACTCAGAAGAGTTTCAGGGAGTTATTTTCTGGTGTTCAGGCATCATTTGTCACAGCAGCAGCTCCCAGCCTTGGAGCTGGGAACCATTTAGAGGTTCCCTTTCTCTGTCTCAGCAGAAGTCACCACTAATTGTGCTCATCCCATCAGAGCCTTAGCCAAGGGTGCAGTGCTGTGGGGACAGGACCAGCCCCTGTGATTCACTCACTTTTTGGCTGATTTTCCGTATCGCTTTCATTCCCACTGGTTTCACCTGAAACACACATAGTTTTCACTTATTAGCCATGCAGAAGGAAGATGGGCAACACCCAGTGTTGGGAAAGAGAGACAACTCGAGACTCATCAGATCAACATCCCTCAGGGCTGCCCACCAAAGCACCAGCAAAGGGCAGCTGGTGCTGGCAAATGTGTTACAACAGTGAATTTCAAAAAGCAGAGCTGATATCAAGCCACTGTTGTCAGTAAATGACCTGAAGGTCAGCTGAACACAGGCAAAGAGCAGAAACCAGGGGCTTATTTGACACTGCTATAAAACTTTGCAGAGCTGCTGGACAGAATGTACTATAAATAAAGACCACACTACGGCTACAAAATCAGAACAACACAGGAATATCACTTTAGAGGCACAAAAGCAGTGAGTGGAGTAGTCAGAGGTTGTTCGTGTGCCAAGTGGTTTTCTGAGGAATTTTTGGCTTTACTCTGCTCCTTTGAAAAAGCATTTTTATCCAGTAGCTCAGCTCTTCAGGCTCAGAAACTTCCACTTGTGACAGTGTTAAACTTGGGTTAGGCAAGTGTTGCCAATCCTAGTGATGCTGAAAGCTCAATTCCAGCCACAAGACGTGGGGTTTAGCACTGCTGTGTCAGCCCAGCATGGGGTGGTGGTGCCAGGCCAGGGTGTACAGGAATTGTGCCACTCAAGAGGTTTTATAGCACAGACAGTGGTGCTGGAGACCACAATACCTTTCACTGGAGGTGCTTCTCTCCCAGCAGGACTGAGCAGCTTCACCTTCTTCTTTCCACGCTTGGAATCAAAGATCTCCTGGATTTTCAGTACCAGCTGAAATCCAAAGCAGAAGCAGAGGTTAATGTGAGGGTCCAGAAAAGGTGTCAACCAGATGGAGCCCAACAGCCCTAATCCAGCACCACAACACTTGGGAAAAGCTGCCCAAATCCTGGCAGGAACCCTGGCTCAGAGGCTGGAGCACTTCTGGCCCAGCTCACTGCAGAATAAATGAGCACAGATTTCTGCTGCAGCAGAGGGGTTCCTGTGAGCACAACCCAAAGCTGACACCAAACTGTGCAACATTCTGGAAGCTGTCACACTTCCTTTACCAAACAGCAGAAGTGACAAACTGTCTGGCATCACATCTCCATTTTCTATTAAAAGCCAACTGCAAAGGCACTTACAAGAGCATCTTAAAAACCCTCCACCACAGAGGACTCGGAATTCCACACACTCTCCAGCATCCCAATTCTTTCCAAGCCCAGAGAGAGCAGGGCTCTCTCACTGTACCTTGGAGCCTCTTTTTTGGGGTTGTTTTTTAAGTTTGCTGCTGCATTTGGATGTCAGCTCAAAGAAGTTTCCCAAAGCACGAGTCAGGCACAGAACAAGGCTGCTCCAAGCACAGTCCTTGTTCCAAGGCAGTTTGTTAAATGACAGGATTGGAGCAACCTGGTCTAGTGGAAAGTCTCTGCTCGTGGCAGGGGGTGGAATGAGATGAGCTTTTGGAGCCTTTCCACCCAAACCATTCTGGGATTCTGTGATTTTTGCATGGGTGAAGACAGAGAGTGGGACATAATAATGGGTTTGTGCTGCAGGGACACCACAGACCTGATCCACTGGAAGAAAAAGGTTGGAAAAAAACCACAGCCCAACGCAGACTAAGCTACAGCCAAGAAAGAAGGGTCAGCATTTAGACACTTGGAGCTGACTCTGTTAATCTTCCTCTACTGGTCACAGCACCCCTAAAACCAGAGTCCTGACAAGTTTTGTGACCCTGTCCCAGGCTGCCCTGGACCTGCCCCTCACCTGCCAGGAATGCAGTGCCACAGGGGCTCCCTGGCTCCCAACATCAAAGGCGGCTCTTGCTTCATGTGAAGAAGGATTTTCACTGGGTGCAGGGAGCAGGTCAAGTTCATTCTTGTCTCAAGTTAAGAATTCGTTAAACTGAATGTAGGAGGGTGGGGCCCAGCCATTTGTCACCACAAATACTACATAAAAAGGAAGATATTCGAGAGAACCTGTTTTTCAGCTCAAGCCTTCATCCCCAGCGCAGCAAACCAGGCTTAAGCTCTTCTTTTCCAGTCGATTTCTCCCCATTTTCTGCCTCAGCCAGCCCTCCCAGCACAAGGAGGCAGCAAGGAACAAAGAGCCCACAGCACAAAGCAGTGCTTCTCCTGCCAAATCTGCCTTCTTTCCCCTTTCATCCAGCCTTACCTAGAGAATTTCCATTTCTGTTCTGATTTTTGTGCAGCTGAGTCACCAGTACAAGACCCTGGGTGTGTTTAGGGCAACCATATGTTTCTCAAGCAAAAAGTAAGTTTTTCTCTATTTAGACTCCAGTCCTTTTCTCAATCTCTCAAGCAATCTTGGCTCAATTCCTCAGGAGCAAAGAGAATCAAATGCTCTTCCTGCATGTGAATTGTTACCAGATTTTTGGAATAGGTTTGCTTCTGGAGAATGTTTTATTTTCCCTCTCCAAATGAAAGATACTCTCCATCACAGCATTTTAGTAATCTTGCCATCTCCTTCCTGATTTTCCAGACCTACAGTTTGTTTAGAAGCACAGACAGGAGTTACTTGATACTTTAAAGGTTTGAAAAGGCTTTTGCAGCTCTCCAACTCTACCTCACAGTCCTGGGCAATCTGAGCAAAGACATGTGATTTTCACAAGAAAAAAAGATCTGCAGAAGTGAAATGATTTTACCATGGCAAAATTAAGTTCCTTGCCACTACCACAAGTGGGATTTGAGTCCCATGCACAAAGTGCCACCACAGTGGAAGCTGCAGTTCTCCTTCTACAGCACATGCTGCATTTTATCACTGAGGGACACAAGCTGGTAACCAATCCAAGCATCTACAAAGGTTCCCAAGGCATCAAATGAGAATTACAACAGTCCTCTATGTGAAGGTGGATTTAAAGCCTTTCTCAGTCCTCTGGCCTTTGCAGCCAGGCAGGAGGGAGAGGCCAGAGGGGACAACTGTATGAAGGCTTTGTGAAATGCACTTATCCCTCCTTGCTCCTCTTCACCTTTAGACCATGGAACAGCTGTTCTTGATGCCAAGTCAAGACCTCCAAGCCAACATGCCAAGGAACCAAGGGCCCAGCTTCCCAGAGCCATCCAATAACTCGGGGCCTGCAGTGAGAACTTAAGGATGAGTCTGAGCAGTCACTGGGAGCAGGGAACATGCACACACCATGGTACAGGACTGCCCCTTCAGCTCCCAGAGAGCACAAAACCAGCATCCTTACTCTCCATGGAAACACTGGGAACAAGGCTTAGATGACAAAGCAGGAGGAAGAGCCTGTAGTCACACACAGCCCTGATTTCCAGGTCAACACTGAGTACTCTGTCTGTCGATTCTTGGCCAACAAATCCACCACTGTCCCAGCTAGAACCGGCCCTCTGACCCCCAAACACCTGCCCTGCCACTTGGAGAGGGAATGGGATGAGCAGAGTCACTGGTCCACACACACAGCAGCACCCAGCAGCACCCACCTGCCAGGCAAACAGCTCTGTGACCACTCACAAAGCGCTTACAACGCAGCAGGAGTTTGAAATGCCACACAAGAACAACATTTCACACTTAAATCTCACCCAGGGCAAGTTCTTTCTCCTGCTGGCAGCCTCCACTGCTCGGAACAGCTTCCACTCGGACAGTGTGACGGGCAGAGAGGTGTCCTTCACCACCCTCCCTTGGAAACTTGGCTGGGAGGGCTTCAGCTCAAGAGACTTGCGGCTGAGGAAGGGAGGTTTTGGGGGAGGCTGGAAAACAGAGTCAGAAGAGATGGTAAAGCAGGAGATCAAGCTTAGGTCCAAGGTCAGAGTCAAAGGAGTCAGATTACAGGTGGCAAATCTGCTCTACCAAACCCTGCACCCCACCCCACCCACTGAAGGATCTCACCAACACTCTCTTGCTCCTGTTCTTTTGCTCTCTGGCAGCTTCATCAACTGCCCCTGCCATGCCTGTTCATTATTTACATTACATATCATTTACATTAATAACAAACAACAAAAAATAAGGAAAACCAATGACTGGCAGTGGAGAATGTGGGGCTGGGGGTGAGCACAAAGTAGTGACCTTGTGAGGATGACTCTGCAAACATCTGACCATTTAATGCCCCCACCCTACCTTGGGAGCCCTGCTGATGCTCCGGGGAGGGGGCAGCTTCCAGACAGATGGGACCTTCCAGAGGGGTAAGGGCAGTGCTCCAATATCTTCATAAGGGTTCTCTTTTGCAGGACCTGGAAGAAACATCGGATGGGGGATTTATGAAAGGAGATAAAGCCATGTATTCCTGCAAGGAATATTAGCAGGGAAAGTGTGCAGTTATGAGCCAAGCTTTAACAGGTCTGAGAGACCTGTTTTAAGATGGGTTCCCACCACTCAAATATCCTTCTAACCCACTGCCATCAACTTGGCAGACTGTACATGGACACAGCAGAACAAAACACTTCCACCCCTACAGAGAAAGCAGCTCTATTGCAAAGCAGCTAATTTGGCAGTGTTCACACTGATCTCTGGGCAGCACTCGAGCAAAGCATCCAAAGAGCTAATAAAGACATCAGTTTAGCACAGACCAACCCCAGTGACCTTCCAGGACACCTGAAATCAGGCTCTTCACATGCAGATAGCTACTAACACCAACAAAGAACCCCAGATGGGGAAGGACTTAAAAAGTCACAGAGCTGGAAAGGGCTGGAAAGGATCCTCATCCTCATCCTCACTCCTCCCTCCCCAGCAAAACTGCAACCCTTAAATAAAGTGAGGGCATCCCCCAGAAGCACAGGCACATACAGATGATGTCCTCGTAGATGTTGTCTTCTGACTGTGCGTAGACCAGCCTGGATCCTGTGGTGCCATTTGTCTCCTCCCGAGGTCTGTGGGAGCTGCTGGCTGCCCTCCTGCTGCGGAAGCCCTGGATGTCCTCAAACTCAAAGGATTTCCTGGAGGGAAACCAGTGTAACTTCTCCTAAAGGCACCTGCCTGTAGCAGTGAGTTGCTGTCTCCAGTCCACACATGGTATGGTCCCTCCTTGGGGCCACCCAGCACACGGATGCCCCACTCTGGACTCTGATTTCCAAGTGTTGAGGTTTAACCCCTCAGCCCCACGCAGCCACTCGCTCCCACCCACGGGATGGGGCAGAGAATCAGAGGGTAAAAGTGGGAAAACACATGCATGGGTCGAGATAAAGACAGTTTAAAAGGTAAAGCAAAAGCTGCACATGCAAGCAAAGCAAAAGAAGGGATTCATTCCCTATTTTCCATGGCAGGGAGGTGTTTGGTACCTCCAGGAGAGCAGGGCTCCATCACATACAACAGTGACATCACTCCAAATGTCTCCCCCTTTCCTCCTTCTTTCCCTAATTTTTATTGCTGAGCACAACATCACACGGTCTGGAATATCCCTTGGGTCACTTGGGGTCAGCTTGTCCCTGCTGTGTCCCCTCCCAACTCTGGGTAAGCACAGCTCAGCAGTGACTGACACTGCTGTGTTATCAGTATTTTCATCACAAACCCAAAACACAGCACCACACAAGCTGCTAGGAAGAAAATTAACTCCGTCCCAGCCCAAACCAGCACATCAAGTGAGTCCTACTCACTTACTCTGGAAGGTTTCTAAGTTAAAACTGAAGCTGGAGGCTCCATGGCCAAGCAGGGTCCAAGTGAGTCCCATCCTGTCAGAGGCAAGAACCCAAAACACGTTTTGCAGACTTGCAGCAGCGCTCAGAATCAGGGCACTGCTTTCTACTGGACCTCTCCTACTCATGCTCAGGGTGCTCATGCATTTGTGAGCTGGCATTTCAAAATTATGGCACAGAGGTCACAAAGGAGCTGGCAGGGATTCAGCCCAGAAAACTTGGGTTGTTGCCACACACTTTGCCACTGTGAAAGGTTTCAGGACCTCGAGCCTCTTCCCTGATGGTCACGTGCACACCCCTCTAGCACAGCTGCCCCAATTCTGCAAGCAGAACTAGCATCAAGCTACCTCAGAGGTTTTTTACACACAGGAAAGAGGGAAAAACAGCCAAACTTATTGCAACAGGGGAACCCACGCTCTTCAACTTTAAGCAGCAAGAGAACCCTTCACTCCCAGGAAAGCCAAATACTCAGCAGCCACAGTGCCCCAGCAGAAAGCCAGTCTGCAATCCACAAATTGCAGCTGAGGGCAAGCTCAGGGCAGAGCAGCAGGCAGGGAGCAGGCAGGTGTCTCCCTGGGGCCAGCATATCGTCACTCCACTCTGTTCTAAGGTGTGGGGCTGACACCTGTTTGGAGCCTGTAGCCTTCTTTGCAAGATTATCAGCAGCAAAAGCAGTGCACACACAATGCTGGAAAGGGGATACTTTCATCCAGGAATATCCTCTCCCCTTCAGCAGAGGCATCAGCAGTAGTAGCACCTCCACAAGGGTATCGTGGCAAGCAAGCTGCTTAAACCCATCGAGAAACTGAGGTAAGGAAACACGTTTCAGACATGAGAGATGAATTATGTACCTCTGGGCTCTCCCTCTGATCCTCCTGCTGTCCGTTCTCTTCTCAGGATTGTTGGAGGATGACACCAGGTCCCTTCCACACTGCTTTTGCAGGGGAACTTCCCTGGTAGCACTGGAATCTCTACAACCACCAGCACCCTTTTCTGCCAGGTAGCGGAAAGTCCTACAGGGTTTGGGTGGTGGGACAGGAGCTGGCTCCTCCTCTTGCCCCTCAACCTCAGAGTAAATGTTTTTCAAGCTCCTCTCTGCCCCGCAGAGAGAGTCCACTCCTTTGATTCTCAGTTCTTTTTCCGTGGAGCCAGAGCCCCCTCGCTTCCTCTGAAGGTCCAGGGGAACAGGAGGGGCTTTGCCAGGCAGAGGGGGATCTGCTCTCCTCCACAGAGCTTGTGAGGTATAGAAGTTCCCTGGGGGCAGTGTCACCCCTGGGTCCAGGAAGCCTGTTTGCCCCTGTCCTTTCCCCTTGGCTTGGGAAGCTGGGCCATCACAGCCACCAGTCTGCAAGCAGGTCCGTGCACCTTCCCTGAAGTCCAACCCCAGGCTCTTTGGATCTTTGGACCTGCCCTTCTCTGTGTGCTCTGGCTTCACGTTGGATACAGCATTGCAGCTGGGATCATACTTCACCCCAAAGTCCTTTGGCTGCTGCCTCTCCTTGCCGGGGCAGCCCCGTGTCCTCCCCTCCCACTGGGAGATCTTCTGCTTGATGTTGCGGCAGTGGCTGCGGGAGAGGGTCTGCACGGCCGAGCGGGAGAAGGTGCCGTCCACAGAGCTCGCTGGGTGCATGGCAGGTGCCACTGTGCTCACAAACACCCCATCTCCAGCCTTGGCCAGGTCCTGCTGTGTCCTGCTCACACCCAGCGGTGTGGGAGAGCCCCCGGGCGTCAGCGCTGCCTCCTCGCGCGACCTGGGGACAAAAGGGAGACAGGAACCATCAGCTGCGCTCCAGCCATGAACTTCAGAACTTCCAGCCCCCCCTGAACTTCAGAACTTCCAGCCCCCATGAACTTCAGAACTTCCAGCTGCTCCCTGGCAGTTGCTGAAGAACATTCCAACCCAAATCACATGCTCAGGACGGGCTTCCAGGGCGCGCTCCCCACAAAGCCTGTTTGTGCAGCGCACATTTGGGAGGGTTAATGAAAGGAAGTTGAGGCCTCACCGGCTAAAAAAACAAACAAAACACCACAACAGGAACAAAACACAGTTAGGGATCCCAAGGGTCCAAACCCAAGGAAATTATTTCATGGAAGAGGAACACAGCAGCGTGGATCTGAGCCAGCCCCTCTGCTTGGACCAGCACAGCCCAGGCAGTTCCTCCTGATGCTCTGCACTGCTCAGAGCACCTCAGGCAGCACAGAGCCAAACCCCTGCAGCACTGTGAGCTCTCCACTCAGCAGAGACACAGCAGGACATGAAACACCACCTCTCTAGAAAGGGAACCACATCTACTTCTCCAGAGAGGCAGCAGCAGCAGGACACTGCAGCTTCACACAGGACGAGAACAGCTGTGATGGCTGGAGAAGAGCCCGACTCTGGAGGAGTGCACCCTCCTCCCAGAACTGCTCTCCTGCTGCACAACACAAGTAAAAACCTGCCTGATGTTCTGTTTGTCAACACCTGACCTACATTTGCCGACAGAGAGACGGGAGGGCAGTGGTGCCCAGCCTGTGGTTTGCAGCCAGGAAAGTTTTAACAAGCAGAAGAAATTGGTGAGTTCTCATGCTCAGGAGAAAAATCGCCCTGTGTTAAGATCAGCAGAGGAGAAGACACTCTAAAGGAACACTGTGGCTTCTTCTACCCAAGCAGAGCCTGCACAAACAGGAGCTGTGATGTTTGAGACTATCCCAGCGTATAATCCAGAGGATACAGCAGACATCCTCCAGATATTCCAGCAAGGACGGCAGGTGAAACCACCAGGGAGAACTGCGGTGGCTGTACAGACCCAGCACCTACAGGCCCAGGATGGCCTCAGCACAGACATTTCACGTGTGGATCCTCAGCCTCAGAGCCCTTTGGCTCTACCTGTAGCTCACAAGGCATTCCCAATATCCTCAGATATGCCAGCACAGTTGAAAACTCATCCTGGACAGAAGATAGCAGCCCTCAGGCTCTAACAAGCTCTGTTCCTCCCTTTCTCTGGGCAATTATCCCATCTCAGAAGTTCCAGCCCTCCAGGTCTATTTAACATTCCCCATTTGTGTTAGGAGACAAGCTCAGCAGAGCTGGGCTCAGGCCAGGGCAGCAAGCCTGGCCACTCTGGTTTTGGTAACATTCCCCTGGCACCAAGAAGTCTCACTGCAAAAGGCAGAACAAGCAGCAAGCAGTGCCCATTCCACACATGCACAAAAACAGAGGATCTCTGCAGAAAGCAATCCAGAGTCACTCCAGGTGGGAACAGGGGCTAAAGTCACACCAGACCTGTACTCAGGTTCCACCTGACAGACCCAGCCAGCTCCCACTGCCACACACATGTCCTTCAAAGCTGCTGTTTCAACACTCAGCCTGCACTGACTCACCAGAGCCTGTAGGAGTGGGCAGAGCCAAGGATGGGCAGCAAACCAGGCTGGGAGACAGAGGAGCTTAAACCTGCCTGACAAGGATGCCCCACGCACCAGGCTGGGTGTGGAGAGTCCCCACCACAGCACAGACCCGCATCCTTCCCACTGCTGGCACCACACCTCAGATTCCAGGCTCCAGTGCTGTCCCTGGCACTGCTGACCCGCTTGGCTGAGGCATTTGTGGTGCAATTAAAAGCAAAACACCAGCCTTGGTACATCTACTCGACATCACCAGTGAGACAGCTCACTGGTGAAGGACATCCCCAAGCAGTTCAGGGATGGTTTGGGCACACATGGCACCAAGCCTTGGCTCTCTGCTGCCCTGTCACCCTCCCCCAAAGCAGCACTGCTCGCTGTGGGAAGCAGCTCCCACAGTGTGGTTCCCGCAGTCTGGCATTGCTCACCACACTGTCCCAGACAGCTGCCAGTAACTCTCCCACTCAGCAGTGAGCAGGATAAACTTGGACAATCTGGGTAAGCACAGAGCTGGGGATATTTGCTCCATCATCAGCATTCCAGCCTGCCCTCAATGCTTCCGTAGCCAGGCCGCTGTGAGACCCCTTCCTGCAGGGCAGAGAGGGGCCCCTGCCCTCTCCTATAAATAGGCATTGTTGCCAAAACATCCTGAGCCAGAGCAGAGCCATCCTTCCTCCATCCCTGTCTGCACAGCCCTGATTAGCAGACAGGAAAGCAGCTTTCCCTTTTCCTGTGCCACTGCAATTACTCTGCAGCAGCGGCGCTCCAGGATGCTCCCGAGGACTGGAGGCACAGGCGAAGAAGGAAAGGCTCTGTCGGGGTCAGCCAGGTGAGGAGAGGGGTGAAACAGCCTCCTGAGCCAGTGCAGCTTCACACCAGGCTCCTTCACTGCCCTCCAGGTCTTCAAACACGGGATTGCTGGATGCAGAAATAGCACTGGGAGAGGCCGTGAAGGACCCTACAGTGCAGAGCAACAGGTTTATCCACAGGACTAAGCACTTCCAGACCAGAATTCATGGAGCATGGGCAGCCCATGCCCTCAGCAAGCCCACAGGCTGCACCAACAGCTCCCTTGTTTCCCAAGGGAATATTGAGAGGGAATTCCTCTCAGAATCCTCCAGCTGGCAGCTCCTCCGGGAGCAGCCTGGCAAAACATCTGCATGGAATCACAGAACATGCTGAGTTGGAAGGGACCCACAAGGATCATTGAGGGCAGCTCCTGGCCCTGCACAGGACACCCCAAAATCCCACCCTGTGCCTGAGAGTGTCATCCAGCTCTGGCAGCCTCGGGGCCGTGACCACTGCCCTGGGGAGCCTGTTCAGTGCCCCACCACCCTCTGGGGGAAGAACCTTTTCCTGCTATCCAGCATCCACGAGGACAAATCACTGCACAGAGCAGGCTGAGTAGCCCTGCACAGCTTTCCAGCTGGGTCCATCCCTGCTGTGCCCAAGCAGGGCAGCTCTGCCAGCCTGCCCCGTGTCCTTCCTCCCATGACTCACGTTGGTGAGGGTGCAACAAAAACTGCCTGTGCTGCAGCTTCCTCAGCCAGACAGACACATTCCTGCTTCCTCATATCGAGCCATGGCCCAAGTCAGCCCAGTGCTCCTGCCCTCTCCCACTGCCCACATCTCTGCTTCCACAACAGGGTCACCTTCCACTAGACCAGGTTGCTCCAAGCCCCATCCAAGCTGGCCTTGAACATCTGCAGAACAGGACCCACACTGAGTTTATTCCCTCTCCTTCACCATAAACCTACCACATAATGTTACTTCCCCAGCCCGTGCAGCTCCACACACCAGCTGGAGAAGTACTGTTACTGAGAAGGTGAAGCAATAAGCTTCACTCCCCTGAAAAGCCAAAAAGTTTTGAGTGCAAAGCAAAGATCTTTCCAAGGCACATCACTGATCTCAGAACTACCAGATACAGCCAGACACACACAGCTCCTGGCTCATCTTAAACACAGACAGTAGAGCACAAGCTCAAAGCTTCTCCCCTGCTCAGTGCTCTGCCAGACTGAACTGCCTTTTCCAAAATAACCATAATAAGGGGGAGAGGAATTCAGCCCTTCACCTGCCCAGGCTTGCAAGGCACTGGCTGGTATCAAGAACCAGGCATTTAATCTCTTGTGAGCTTGGCCAAGGGTAGAGACTGATCCTTGGAGAAGAAAGAGCACACTGGGGTGGTGGGATCCAAGCAAAGTCACCCCCAGATGCAGCCCAGGACAGGCTAAAACAGCTCAGGGACATAGAACTGGCAGAGACCACCTGGGTCAGGCAGCCAGCACTCGTATCAGGCACGACACACATCATTCCCATCACAAACTAACCAGATTTGTGATGCTTCTCTCCTGAGATCTCCTCCCAGACTCCTTCAGTGGCTCTCATGTGCTTCCCAGTATTTCCAGAGAAGCCAAATTCATCATCCTTACTGCATCAGGACTTTACAGCAGGTCGGTGTAGTCAAGAATACTGAATTATTTCACTGAAAGCAGCAGTTTGGGGGAAAATGCTATAATTTCTAGACTAAGTGTCACACATTTCTCCCTAACTGCCTCTCTGATCCCAGCTGCATGAAGACAGCTTCCAAGCCTTTATCCAAAGGAGAAGAATGAGGCACGTTCACAGCACATGACAGGTAGCCCTGACTCTTTTTCCAGTCCTGAATGCCAGAGAGCACATTACACATTTTCCATGCAAAGTCTCAAGACAATTCCGTTTCCTGAAATCACATTCTCACGGAGAGAAAGCTGCCAGTGCTTTTCAAGAGTAAAATACTGCCTAGTGCTGAGGTCAAGCCCACCCACTGCAGGTGCTGCTGGAACCCCACAGCCCCCTGCCCACGCCAGCAGCTGAACAAAGGCACTGACACAGCTCCTTACCTTGTCCTGCTCCACAAAGGGCACAGGAACACACAAATCACCGACTCGGCGAGTCCGTGCAGCTCTGAAGCAATTTCCTTTTATGAGAGCTGTGCAGTCCCAAACCACCCAAGAGACCTGCTTGTCACCAAGCCTGCTGTGTTAGTAGCCAAATAAAAGACAGTTTCTGTTCTTCTGCAGTCTAGGGAAGCTGCCAGCTCATTCCTGGAGGGATGAGGGCACTTCCAGCACCGCAGGGACCCCTTCCAGAGCTCCCAGCTGCTCCCATTCTGTTCAGCTCCAGAACAAACATGAAGCTCCTCTGAGCAACTCTGCCATGCTGATGCCTGACAGACATGGGCAGTACCAAAGCAGCAGATTTTATATCAAAATAAGTAACTCTTCAGGAATGCAGTGTGCTTAGTCATTTCCATCTTGATACAAAGCAACTCTAACCACGAGGTATTAACTCGTTCCATGCTGCTGCATCTCACACTGAGGAACAGTTCTGCCTCATTAGATCCACGGCCACGTAGAGCACAGCCCCTGGACACAGAAAGCATGATGCTAATCCTAATTACACCGTAAAAAGATATTAAGTCTGACCTCTGCCATGGGGTCTAAGTCTTTTGTACTGATAAGAAAGATATATCTGGATCTTTCAACTTACAATCTTTTTCTAAAGCAAGTTTTTACCCATGCTAAAAGAAAAACAAAAAAAATCCCAAAACCAGAACCCTTTAAACATGTAAGCCCTGAAGGCTTTTATACCAGAGGACACAGAACCCACACTGTACTATTTTTACAGTCGTGGGGTTTGAACCTGACTCACAGTATCTGAATGCCCAGGGCAGCAATACTGACAACAGCAGTTGACTCAGCCCCTACACCACGGGCTGGCTCCCATCCCAGGAATGCTGCAGCTGCACACAAGGACTAAGACCCAAGGTGGGCACAGAGTTAAAAATCAAACACAATTTATCCTGGAGCCATTCCTTAGTGCCACCACCAGAGGTGAGATTCCAGCTTCCCCCAGGGCTGACATCACCATAAAGCCACGACCACCTTTGTGGTCCACAGAGCCCCCGTGGATTTACATGGGCCCCCCCAGACAGGCTGTGTGGGGCCACCACAACCACCCATTCCTTTGGGAAAGTCTCAGCAGCACCGAGGCAGCTGCCCCAGGAGGCTCAGAGGGTGCAGAGCAAGGTAACACCATAAAACCTCTCAGACATCATCTAGATAACGTGTTCCAGAGCTGCAGAGAATGAGTCACATCCACACTGGAAGACTGAGATAAGAACTTTGCCAGGCAGCAATGGGCAGCACTAGGACTCAGCTCTCCAGGTCAGAGCAGAAACCACAGCCACCACTGCCCAAATACACATTTCCAGGGGCTGCTTATCCTGCAACTGCTCTTCTGCTTCTCTTCCATCACTTGCTGATACAAGTCACGGCTGTGAAAGAATTGCTCCCACCACTGCCTGGGCTCTGCCACACTCTATCAGCCCGGTGCCCTCTCAGACAGGCTGTGTTCAGCCACGGCAACTGGAACAGAGGGAGCAGTGAACTGGGAGAGGCAAGGGGAGACTGGTCCAGCGTGCCAGCCCACACCCTGAGCCCAAGGACTCTGCAACCACTCGGGCCTGAGCACCTCAGTGCAGCACAGCACAAACACATAGTGCCACCGCAAAAAATCACACAGCGGTGCGTTCTTTGCCCTAAATAAACTCAGTGCAGAATCACAGCGTGGTCGAGGTGGAAGAGACCCAGGCTGGAGCACCGACAGCAGGGTGTCTCCAGGACGGCTTTTGGATATCCCAGAGGACGGGAATACGCTGCAGGATCCCTGGGGAGCCTCACCCCCATAGTGAATATGTGTTTCCTGGGGTTCAGAGGTGTTTCCCGGGGTTCACCTCCCGCGTGTCAGGCTGAGCCCATCCCCGGACACCACCGGCAGGAGCCTGGATGGATCCCCCGGCACCCTCCCTGCACGTAGGGACGAGACAAGCCCCCCGGGCTCCCCTTCCCAGGCCGAGGGGGTGGCTCTCCCCCAGGACAGCCGGTGGCTGGATCTGTCACCTGCTCCCTCCCGCCCGTTCGCCCGCTGCCCAGGGCGAAGATGCTGCACCGGCCGCTCGCCGCCTGCCCCGGGCCGGGACACGGGGACCCCTCGGGGCCGGCAGCCGCGAGCCCGGCAGTGACTGCGGGAAGCCCCGAACTCCCCCGGTCCCGCAGCCCCCGCCCGTTCCCGCCCGCGCCCCCCGCCCGTCTCACCGCGGCCTCGGCCCGCTCCGCCACCGCTCCCGCACGGCGCGCCCGCCGCGCACGGAGCCGCCGCCCATTGGCTGGAGTACCCGTCACTCATGTGAAAATCCCGCCCACGGGTGCACGCAGCCGTCTACCATTGGCTGGCGCGGCCGTCACTCACGCAGTAACCCCGCCCTATATCGCAGAGACCTCTCCCCGTCCCGCTCCCGCAGGACGCGCCCGACGCTCACGGAGCCGCCGTCCATTGGCTGGAGTAGCTGTCACTCAGTGGAGACCTCGCTCTCATCCCGCCCCCACGATGACGACGCCGTCTCCCATTGGTTGGCGCGGCCGTCACTCAACCATTGGCCCCGCCCTCCCCTCTCCTCTGAGGGTGATCGGAGCCGCTTCTCAGACCGGGTTTTACTGCGCGGCCGCCCCGGTGCCCTCAGAGTCCGGCACAGCCCCGACCCCGCGCTCCCACCCCCTGCCTATTCGTTCTTCATCCCCTCGGCGATGAGGTTGAGCTCGTAGCACCAGGTCTCGTAGCGATAGGCCACGCGGATCTGGGCCACGTTCGTCTTCCGGATGTCGTTGCCTTCGGGCCCCTCTTCCCGGTAGTTTTCGCCCAGGAATTTGACTTTCTCCTGCCAGGGGAATAGACAGGGGTGCCGAGCTCAGAATTCCTTGTTCGGAAAGGCTGAGGAGAAGCCCTGAGCCCACGGACGGCGCTGGTCCCAGGGATCACCGTGGGCCAGGGACATTTTCTTAAGAAGTTACGTTCATTGATGTTTGATCTTTATGTACGTTCATGCCTAATCAGTAAGAAGGGGGATTTAATCCTGTGAAACAGCAGCCAACAAGCTCTGAAGTGATGTCCAGGTGTTAGAAAAATTACGTGTGGGTAGAATTGCCTTGTTAAGGTTTAGGGCTGGGCGTGCTTCGAGCATCCCAGACCTACGGGGAGGTTAAAGACTGGAGAGAAGGATGTACCAGTGATAGTGGACACGAGGAATGCAGGATTTGTGGGCTACAAGGACATTCGGGAAAAACTCCAAGGTAAGGAAGAAACTAATAAAGCCAACTCAGCAATTGTGCTGAAATCAGCTCCAGTTGGGTAAAAGATCATTCTGGCAGGGGCAGATCACAACCAGTGACTCACAGACCATCAACCCTAAAGAAGAGGAAGACTGAGCATGGGACTAATTAGCATGAGAAGTGAGAGAATCATTAGCCTATAGAAGCTAATTAATAAGGTAACTATGTAACTTGTAACCAATGAACGCTAATTCCTTTGTTTGCTGAAATGTATAAAAAGTTTTGATAGCTGGTGTGCTGGATTTGTGGAATCCCACCGAGCACCCAGGGTTGTGCAGCTCTGAAATAAATAATAAATAGTAACGAATCCCAGTTTTCGTGGACAGCACCCACCTCGTGGGACAGGCCACACTGCAGGACGCTGTTCCTGGCGATCTCACACATGTCACAGGTGCTGAGTTTGAAGACCTGGGCGGCGATGGCGTATTCCTCCATGAGGGGCTCCTGCAGCACAGGCGGGATTAGGGCCCAGCAGCTCTGCAGGGGCTCTCCCACAGCTCACAGAACCACTGAATCACTGGGCTTGGAAAAGATCTCCCAGATCAAGTCCAACCTTCAACCCCCATTGCCCACTAAATATCACAAAGTGCCACGTCTACTTGTTGTTTAAACACTTCCAGGGATGGTGACTCCACCCCTGCCAGCCCATTCCAATGTTTAACCACTCTTTCAGTGAAGAAGTTTTTCCTGATGTTCAACCTGAACCACCCCTGGTAGAGGGACAGATGGCCCAGCATATGATGGACCTTTGGCAGGTGCCACTGGCTTCCCAAAAAATCGAGGCCCACACACTCCCAGCCCCACAGTGCCAGCCCCAGCGCTCACACGGTACCTTGGTGAAGTGGAACTGCATGGGGTCATCTGTAGAAAGGGACACCATGAGCCCTTTCTGGTGGAAGTCAAGCAATGGATTCTTGGCATACTCCAGGAAGAGGCTGTTGTTGCTGAGTGGGGACATGGCGATGGGGATTTGGGCGAGGAAGTACAGATACTGCAGCACTGGGCTCTGCAAAGGTGAGCAGAGGTACCGGGTTAGGGATAAAGTTACTGCACCTTGCACCTCTTTGGGGTCACTCCTCACATCAGGCCAGGCCCCAGGCAGGGAATACAGTGCAGAGAATCACAGAATCGTGGAATCAACCGGGTTGGAAAAGATCTCTGAGATCATCAAGCCCAACCCTTGATCCAACACCGCTGTGGTTCCCAGACCGTGGCACTGATGCCGCGTCCAGTCTCATCTTAAAAACCTCCAGGGATGGTGAATCCACCACCTCCCTGGGCAGCCCATTCCAATATCTGATCACTCTCTCTGTAAAAAATTTCTTCCTAATATCCAACCTAAACCTCCCCTGGCAGAGCTTAAGGCCGAGAGCTCACGTGTGCAAGGAAAGAGAGAGGCAAGCCAGCAATCAATCCTTCAGAGTCCACATGGAGCGTGAGAGGACATGGAGCTCAAACCTGTTTGATGTCAGAATGCAGCTGGCTCGATGATAACAGATGTATCCTACAACAGGCCTGTGAGGCTGACCCCTCAAAATCCAACAGGTTTCTCAGCCAGATCCCCAAACATGCCTGGAGAGCCCCAGAGAAGTGACATCTGCCTGAAGCCAGGCTGTGTCAGCGTAAAGCAGAGGCACAACCAGCTGTCAGCTGCATGGAGGCAGCTATGAAGGTGTTCTGTCGCTCTGCCACGCCTGGGCTGCTCGTGACAGACTAACTGCACTTACCTTCTTGAGGTTGAGGCCGTGGGAGATGTTATCTGCTGTCATGAAGGCTGCAAGCAGGTGTGTGATGGCCCCGGCCTCGCCGCAGTGCGGGCGGAACAGGAACGTGTTCATCCCACGCTGCCTGAGCGCAGGGAAGGAGGGCAGGCAGCAGGGTTAGGGGGCTGGACCTGACTTCAGGCCCAGCTCTGCCCCTACCCATGAATCCAGCCTGGCCCAGGAGCACATCACTCATTCTCTTTTCTCCTCTGTGCATGCAATAGATCCCTAATCTCTGCAATCCCTAATTTTCACCCCAGTCCGTCACGCTTCCTACTGAGAAGCTTCTGGATTGCTCTGGGATATGAAGCTCCAAACTACACTGGGGGCAGAGCAAGGTGGCCCCCATTTCTCCCACATCAATAAAGAGCTGAGATAACTCACGAGGCAGCCCCTTGTGCCACCTCATGGTGGCAGATCCGGGCCTCACCTGCGCAGGTTGTTCAGCACCAGGATGTTGCTGTACATGTAGTAGATGTAGTAGGTGTAGGATGGGTTCTTCTCAGAAGTCCAATCCTCTGGCTTTGGGCTTTTGGTGCTGAACATGTGTCCACTGTGCTTGGATTCATCATCCACACTGTCGAAGCCAGTGATCTGCTCGGCAAGGTAACAAGAAAGGTGCATCTCAAGGCTCCCCACCTCACCATGCCCAGCTGGGCTGGCTCACCCTGCCCCCCTGCAGCTCACCAGAACCCACACCCCTGTCCTCCTCAAGAGCAGAGTCCAGCAAGGCTGCAGACCTCCCTCCTCACAACCCCCCAAGCTCTGTCAGTAACCAGGAATAAAGCTCACACCTTCCCCAGGAGGTGAGGATTTCCCTCAGCCCCACAGCAGCCAGCTCAGGGAGTCTGAGCCCTCCCTGCACTTCTGGCCACACACCCGCTTCCAAGAATGTTGCAGAAGGGCCACAAGCCCACTGGTGATATCTTCCACATCAGCCAATAGGCCATTTCTTGTGCACAAACAGGACTGTGAGTTCTCACCCCACCTGACAACACCATCAGGTGACACTCACATGGCGTAGAAAGACACTCAGCTCTTTGTGGGCTTGAGGATTGACAGTTGCCTCAAACACAGGAACAAAGATATTTTCCAGCATTTTCCCGAAGCTGGGCAGGAAATTCTTAGACCTGAACACATCACTGTGGACAGAGACAGGGATTAGCTGCTACCAGTGGGACCACACAGCCCACTGTCCCCACAACCCCCCCAGGTATGAGGTATCTGTAAGGCACAGTGGCCCCTCAGACCCCCAGCACATACTAAATCCTGGGTACTTGGATCATCCACTTCATGTTGGGGGAATAGACCCGGTGGGTGTTGAACCACCCGGCCAGCTTGGCCCACTCCTCCTTTGACCGCCCGTAGATCGAGAGCCGAGGCTCCGTGTGCTGGTACTTGGCATCCTCCAGGTCGGAGCCAACCTCCTGCAAACCGGAGCAGACCGTGGCACAGGGACCCACAGCAGCACCAAAGCTTCACTTCTTCCCCTCCCCTCTCTCCTCACCTTGATGATGGTGGCAAAGTACTCGCCGTTGATGGCGTTCTCTGTCTTCAGGTAGAGATCCCTCAGCTCGCTGGCCCCCACGGGGTTGTACTTGTCGTTGAACTTGTCAAAGCGCTGGAATGTCTGTCGGCCCTGGAAGAGGCAGGATCAGGGTCAAGTCCTGCACTCACACACTCAGGCCAGGTGTGGCAGTAAGCAGGGACTGATCCAAAACACTCAAAATGGGAAAACCAGGAGCTGTGACACCCTGCCACGAATATTAACACACACAATATGTCGTGGGTGCGCAGGGAAGGGAAAAACTGTGCCTATGGAGGAGATGAGAGTGCCTCAAGAGTGATTTTACACTAAATGTCCAACCACTTACAGCATGGACATCCAGGGAATCCACTGTCAGGTCGTAGGGGTGCAGATTGAGCTGCTGGAAGAGCTGTTTCAGGGTGAGCTGTTTGCCCTTGGCGTTGTAGACCACGCGGTCGGCGTCCACGTGGTAGGATTTCTTGATGAAACGCAGCAGATGCTTCTGGTTCATGCAGGCTGCAGCATGGATGTGCGTGTCCACCTGGGAAGCAAGAGGGACAGATCTCCAGCTTCGAGTTGGGATGCTCAGGTACCATCCCAGGGAGGCCCACAAGCCCCTCAGGGGAGCAAGTTGTGTGGGGAGCAGGGCTCAGTGGTGTGAACGTGACGGG